TGAGAACCTCAGGCCCTGTGGCCATCCCTTCATGGGGGCAGTGGGCTCAGGGCTCGCCCCACGAGTCCTCCCAGGTGTGCTGTGGTCCAGCAGGTCGCTGCCTGCAGGTCCCTGAACTGCTGACTGAGCCCCGCGGCCGACAGCAGGCATCTCCTTGAGGCCTGGTTCTGAGAAGAGTTGCAGGAGCACAGAGTTCCATCTCCCAGTGCCCGGGTTCCCCTTGACGCTGTCCTGTGTTGGCTCTTGGTCCCTCCTGCCCCTTCTCTCCTCCTGTCTCCGCCACGCCCACGCTTCTCCCTGACCTGGGGAGAGGGCGGCAGAGAGCAGGCTCCTTGTGCGGAAGGTGTGTTCCTAGGACAGCACGTTTTTTCTGTCTAGAGCAGGCTGGGGAGGTAGCTTGGTGGCAGAGAGCTGGCCCAGCACGCACCAAGCCCGGGTGCAGTCCCCAGAAACAAGCAGGACCAAAGAGAATTTCCAGAGTGTCGGCGCCTGACCCAGGGTGGGCACAACGGAGGTCTCCCCGCTGCCTGGTAAGGCCGCCCACTGCGGGACTCTGCCTGTCTTTCCAGCTGTGTGCCTGGCTGGCTTGGGTCTTGCTGACGTCCCTTGGTTTGGATCTGCTTGATTCTTGCTTGTGGTCAGAATCAGGTGTCGTCCCTGGCCAGAACACCCCCAAGGATGCCTCCGCTTCCCTGGGTGGCAGATCAGGAGCCTCTGGGGCCCAACTGAATCTGATGGGGATGTCAGTTGTGTCCCCTACCCTGTCACCTACCCATCAGGAGGTACAGTGGACTGTCCATGCCCAGCCTCTCATTGTCCTTGGGGCTCAACCCGTGGTGGTGGCTGGTGGGCTCTGCTTCTGCCACTCAGTGCTGGGAGGGCTGCTGTTCTGCAGGAGGAGCCCACCTTGCAGGTACCTCCGGTGAGGAGGACCCCTGCCCTGTGCCCCTCGTATGCACCTTGGGGAACTCCCTGTCAGTGCACCTCTTAACTCTGATGGTGGAGGTGGGAGACCATCGTGGGCGGCACCAGCCTCTGCACTGCCTCTGCCCGCTCCACACACGTCCCCAGGCTTGGGGCGCGTGTCCTGCGCCAGTGCTGGAATCGCCTCCTCCAGGGCTGCCTGCACAGGGGCTCCTGCACGCCTGGCTCCAGAGATGGGTTAGGCAGCTGTACACACACGTGTGTGGTCACGTGCCGTGGCGTCATGGCCAGCTCACTCTGGTCTGCGCTCCCTGGACAGTGGAAGCTGGCCCAGTTACCCACAGTGCCCTGAGAGCTAGCTCAGACCTCCTCCGCCCTTGCCAACACACGAGGTCATCGTGGTGTGGCGCACCCACCGCTGTGTGCACAAGGGACTGGGGACTGTGAGGTACGTCTGGGCCGCCAGCCGGTGTCTGTCTGTGTTTGGGGTGCAGTGTCCCTCACCCCTGCTTGGGTCCTGACCTCTTGGGGTCCCCTCTTCATGTTGGTTTTAACTTCATTTGAGCACATGAGACATGAATGCCGTTTCAAAGACGCTCCTCCCTGGATGACGGCCAGGATGGCGCAGCTTGAAAGGCCTGGTTCTGCTGCTCGTGCAGAATAGAGCTGGCCTGGTGGAGGGGAGCCAGGCCGAGTGAGGAGGCTCGCTCCCCAGAGGAAGGCAGCCACGTCCCTGCAGCTGGTCCTGGGGACCTTCGGGGGTGTCAGGTGGAGGGGCACACCTGCAGCAAGGGTGCTGCCACCCAGGCTCTGCATGTCCAGCATCTTTCTCCCAGAGTGCCTTTGTTTCAGAGCACGCGCATGTGCATGCGTGTGTGTGTGTGTGTGTGCGCGCGCGCGCGTGCGTGTGTGTCCTCTGTGGATGTCCTGGCCCCACCTCTGGGTCATGCACGTGGCAGCTGCAGCTGGGAGCTGCCCCAGAGCTGTGGTCAGGGACTGTGCAGAGGGCATCTCTGCTGGTGCTGCGGGCTTCTGTGGAGGTGGATCACATGTGGGGTCAGGTGGCCTGGCAGGAAGGCCAGTGTCCCTCCAGAGTGTGTCCACCCTGCCCTGCTCTCCTCGCTCCTGAGTCCCCCTGGCCCTGGCTCCACCAGCCTGGCTCCCCTTGGATCTGGCCCTGCTACCATGTGTCCGACTGAAGCACGCCCACCTGATGCATCTTGTTCCTGGTCTGTGGCTGCGTAGACAAGGCCTGGCTTGGAATCCACTCTGTGGCAGTCCCTGTGGAGAAGCACATCCAGGGGAAGCACGCTGCAGAGCCCTGGACATGCTCACAGGCATGCATGGAAGTGCATGCATGCATTTGTGTGTGTGCATGTATGTGCACGTGTGTGTGCGCGCGTGTGCATGTGTATGTGTGCGTGTGTGTGCACGTGTGGGTCTGCAGACCTGTTCTCTCTCACCTTCCACTCACTCTGGCACAGGACCAGCCCCGTTCTCAGTTCTCGTCTGTGGCGTGAGGCGTAGCCCACCTCCCTGGAGGTCCTGGGACTGGAGCTGTGCCTGCGGTCCCCATTGGGCCAGTCCAGGAAGAACGGGCAGAGTGGCAGGTCCTGGGGTGACCTGGGGCTGGGCTCAGTGGGAAGGTGCCTCCACAGGTTCCGCAGGGTCCTCACGCGGCACCTGGTTAGACCACAGGCAGGCCCTGCGTGGCTATGGCCCCCGCCCCAGCCGGCAGCTCTTGGCAGAGGACCTACCCTCCTGTTGTCACCTGCCATCCTGAGGGCCCTGGGGCAGGGATGTGCCCGGTGATTCCCGGTGGGGCCTCTGGTCAGTGGCGTGCTGGCCCTGCCAAGGTTTCCCCTGCTCCGCCTGTTTGGGACATGTGACCAGGTGCCACATTTCTGGGCCTAGGAGTGGCTTGGTGTCAAGTTCAGGACTGGGTGCTTTGTGTTCTTTGGAGGCCTGGCCCTGAGGGCCTTGGTCATTCACATCTGGGGCTTGGGGCCTCGGTCCGGCCTCTCCTGAGCCACAAAGACCAAGGTGGGCCTGGACACATCTGGGTGGGCCAGGTCCGCAGGGTCAGGTCCGTGGGGTCCCTGGTGACAAGCTGTGCTCTGAACAAACAGAATCACTGTAAGGCCAGTGTAATCTGCCAGGATCTAGGGGATCTGAAACTCAAAGCTGCTGTCAAAACAAGAAGACAAACTGACGGGTGTGCCCTGCGGCTGTAGCGCAGGAGTCACTGACGGTCGGCCACCTGCAGGTGGGTGTGTCAGAAAGCACAGAGGCACCTCACGGCCAGGCCCAGCTGAGGGCTGTGTGGGGGCCCAACAAGCAGATACCCTTGCAGGGGTGCTGCCTCGTGCAGCCTGGCCTGGGCTCGCTCTGCAGGAGCGGGTGGCCTGTGAGCACGGCCAGGGCTGACCGCCCTCAGTTGTGGTTCACTCGGGGTGCCCCTGCACCCTTGGTCTTTGTTTTCTGAGGCCAGAGTCTCTTCCTAGGGCTCCAGGGGGCGCCACCTATGGTCTGTCAGCCTCGAGATGCACTTCCTCTGGGCACCGCCAGACCGCGCTGCCCGGGAGCTCCAGTGCTCATCTTGCCGCGGGACACCCCTCGTGACCTTGTGTGCCCCACCGCATGCCCCTGTCCCTAAACAGGAGCGAAAGAGGCCTCCTGCAGTGCC